GACTACGTTTCCATCGAGGGTCCAAATCGGGTCAGAGTCGGGTTGGGGTCAGCGCTTGTACGGTGGAAACGCCAAAGGTTTAGTTGAACTCTACCCTACAAAATTTTAGGGTAGCGTTCAGTTGAGGTTCGGTGGAAACGACAAGAGTCGAGTTCGTGTTGCCAACATAACAAATCCAAATTGCATTGTGTATCACGTGCTGTATTAATCGGTGTAGAAGAGGTTACTATTACTTTTTGTCGGTGATCTTGTAATCTGAGAAATAATTTTTGTATGTTATTTTGATATTCTAAAATTAATATTGCTCAGCTTTACATGTCAGAATATGGTAGTTGACTTTGTGCAGTTGGTAATGTTCAACCCTGCCGCAACTCCAACCCGCTACTCAAACCCGACTCTAACCCGACTCTGACCCGATTTGGACCCTCGATGGAAACGTAGTCGATGGAAACGTAGTCAATGTGGATGCTCATTTCATGGGGGAATAAAATACCACTTCTTTGACAAAAAATCACTAGATAGCTGTTGGTAGTATTGCGTACACATACGTTAGCCTATTTTAAATTTAAGTACGCGGCGTTCTTTTGCCATCGTGTTTTGAATACAACAAATTAAATGATTGAAAAGTGTAATATTTTACAATATTTTCACTAGTGAAATATTTGTGATACATATGTGTACGTAGATGGAAATTATTTAACCATCAAATTTATGCTAATTACGATAAAGTTAAACTGAAATTATATTTAAAATGTTCAGGCGGGAGAATGTGATTACTTATTATTTTTCGTGATATTCTATTTTTTAAGGAGTTATTGACTAATATTTAGTTCATGATCATAATTTGCACAAAATATATAATGAACATTATAAAACAGGACACATTTTTGTACGAAATACTGATATCTTTGTAACCTTAAACTACTATTATTTTCCATATATTTGTGAATTCTACGAAAAATATATAACACATTGATTATTAGAATGGCTAAAGAAAATGGGAGTGGTAAAGATTCTTCTAAAGAAGGTGAAGCTTCAGGCGATGCAGAAATTGAAGATTTTATGCAGCGATCCCAAACAATGGTCACAGATGAAGAAGGTGGAATTAGAGTAGACGATGAAATATATATACCACCACCTCTTAAAACTATTAGCGAAGTTGATACTAGTGGCCCTAGACTGATGATCACTAAAATTGTAAATGAAAATTTCAAAAGTTATGGTGGTGTACAGGTTATTGGTCCATTTCATAAGGTAAGTCGTTAGATCTTCTGAAAACATTGAATCTGATTCTTTTATGAATTATGAATTTATTTTTCTTTTTTCTTTAGAGTTTTTCAGCTATTGTTGGACCAAATGGTAGTGGGAAAAGTAATGTTATAGATGCAATGTTGTTTGTATTTGGATATAGAGCTACTAAGATTCGGTCAAAGAAAATATCAGTTTTAATACACAATTCAAGTCAACTACAAAATGTTAATAGCTGTACAGTATCTGTACATTTTCAGCAAATAATTGATAATGTATGTAACATAACATATGTAATTGAATTTGTTTGTATGAAATGATTATTAACTTTTATCAAATAATGATTTTATTTAGCCCCAGTCAGATTATGATGTTGTTCCGAACAGTGAGTTTGTTATATCTAGAACAGCATTTAAAGATAATTCTTCGTATTATGAACTTAATAAGAAAAAAGTACAATTCAAAGAAATTGGAAAGCTTCTAAGATCATATGGCGTAGATCTAGATCACAATCGTTTTTTAATACTACAGGTGTGTAATACAATGTTATATATCAATGTTACCTTTTGTAATTTTGTTGCTTTATATTAACATATGCTAATAGGGAGAAGTTGAACAAATAGCAATGATGAAACCTAAGGCACAAAATGAGAATGACACTGGTATGCTTGAATACTTAGAGGATATTATTGGGACATTTCGTTACAAAGAACCATTAGAAAAGCTATCACAAAATGTAGAACTCTTAACAGAATATAGAATGGAGAAATTAAATCGCCTTAGAATTGTTGAAAAAGAAAAAGCTGCATTGGAAGAACCTATGCAAGAAGCTGTGGAATATTTACAACTGGAGAACACAGTTACAAAATTACAACACCAAGAGTATTGTTACAAAAGGTAGTTTATTTAAATATAAATCTGGTTTGCTTTTTAATAAAATTGAAATAATAATTTATAAATTTAATGCAACATTTATTTTAACAGATTTGAAACTATAAACGAAGTTACGCAACAAGAAAATACAATGAATAACTTGAATGAAGGATTATCTAATCTTATGACTAAAATGAACGAAATTGCTAACGAAAAAGAAGCAAAGATGAAAGTAATTAACGAAAAAAATAAAAAGTGGGACCATTTACAAAAGCAGAAGGACGAGGTTGTGGCAAAATTTGACAAAATAAGAAAGCACGACGAATCACTTCATGCAGAATTGATAGAAACAAATAAAAGGCGTAAAGCTAATATAGCAAGTTTAAAGACTGTAAGTTTACTATTTTTATTTTTACAAAGTGCAGTATCGTTTTTTACTGTGTCTCAAATTCATTTTGAAAAAGCAAGTAAACATCAAAATAAACAAGATCTGTTACAATAACAAGCTTGTTTAACTTAGTAACTTTGTAGAAAGTGACAGGTTTGGTGGCACGATATAGTAAAAAACAATATTGTAATTACACTGCTCAAAAGAAATATGGCATAGAAAAATTTTAGGCAAAAATTGGCCAAATTCGACTGATGATAACTCCGTGAAAAATCATCGCAAAGTTATGCTCTTTTCTTTTAAATTAAAGCTTGAGATCTCTACTTTAAGACCCTGTAGTTTGATTTTAGATTTGATGCATCCCTACCACAATAACACCGTAAATGTGAGGTCATGTTTGCAATATTGAAAATTACAAAGTTTGACGAAATGCATGGACTTGCCACATTTTTGTGGGGCGATACTGTTTACAGCAGCATAAAGTACAAACCTTTATCTTTAATTTTCAGTATGTGAAAAACCGCTACCATTTTTTTCTGCAAAGATACAGAACTTTAAAGAA